TTTTTGAAAATATGCCATCTCAAAAAAAAATTGGAAAAATTATAGTGGTAGCTCTGATTAGTGCCCAAAATTTTAGTATAGTACAATAACTTGAGTTATGATTTTTTTTTTTTAAATCGAAGTTTAGTAAAATGAGTACGTTACAAATTTACAAATCTTTTCAATTGTTTTTAGAATTTTTTTGAGTGTGCAGTTTTGTAGCCCATAATATTTTAGAATAATAAAGTGCAAATTTTAAGCTACTGCAAAATTGCGTTGATTTTTAATATTTTTTAAACTGACGGCTTTTTCCCCTTTTTTCTAATGCAATCGCTTAAAACTTGCTCTTTATTATAGTAAAATTTATTTAATGGGCTACAAAACTGCACATTCAAAAAAATTTAAAAATTTGTAAATGTACTCCTTTTACTCAACTCTGGTGTAAAAAAAAAAAATCATAACTCAATTTAGTGTAGAGTGCACCCCTTAGTAATATACTTAATTATTGCACAATACTCATAGCTATCATTGTAATTTTTATACCCGAGCGCACTTGTGCACAAGGGTATATTAATTTTGTTCACATAACGGTTGTTTGTAACAGCCAAAACGAATCGAGATAGATATAGACAAATGTATACATAAATGATCAGGATGAAAAAAGAAATCGATTAAGCCATGTCTGTCTGTCCGTCCGTCTGTCCGTCTGTCCGTCTGTCCGTCTGTCCGTGTACACGATAACTCGAACAAAAATTGAGATATCTCAACGAAATTTGGTATGTAGGTTTCCCTTAATCCAAGGTGGGTTGGTATTGAAAATGGGCGAAATCGGACTTTAACCACGCCCACTTCCCATATAACGGTAATTTCCAGAAATACGAAAACTGCGATATTTTAGTAACTACTGAAGATAATTCACTCAAAATTGACATTTACAATAATTTTTAGACGAAAAATAAGAATATTATAAATTTTCGGAAAATGGGCGTAGCCACGCCCACTTACGGTTACATGTGTATATCTTGGTAACCGCAGCACCAATTTCTTCCAAACTTGGCACAGTTGTTAGCCTTCGCATAACATACCAAATGGCCGAAAATTTTTAAAATCGCTCA